GGGGCTGGGGAATCTGGGTTGTAACAAACTCCTTAGGAGATTCTGATTAAAGTCCAAGTTTAAGAAGCAAGGGACAAGAACAATGTGACCATTCAACCTGCCATTTATATAAATGCATCTCATTCAGAAGTAATTTTGGTAATATTGCTTACGATGTTCCGTGGACAAAATGATGTTGGACAGAAAAAGGAATTTCCCAAAGGTACTTGCCAAATGTTTTAAAGGGATCTCCCCCAAACCCCTCTACCGCCTCTGGGGGCTCAGATTTTCTCAGTTTGCCTACATGCCTTTGGCTGAGTACATGCATTTTAACTTCTGATGCAAGTCTGAGCTAACCTGTGCTTTTGGTTACATTTCTGAGCATTTGGAAATCCTGACCAGCATAAACTTGTATTGATTATACCTTATGCAGATAAATTCCTTTATAATTACCTAAATCAAAGATCTTAAAGTGTGGGTTCCAGACCAGCAGCATCAGCATCACCTGAAAACTTATTAGAAATGCAAATTTCTGACCCCAACCGAGTCCTGCTGAATCAGAAACTCTGGGGATGAGCCCAGCAATCTGTGTTTTATCAAGCCCCCCAGGGTACTCGGATGGACTATAGTTTGAGAAACACTGATCAAAATCGATCTACATGGAAGAAGTGTGATCTGGCAAGGGAGACAAGCAATTTAAAGAAGGTTCTGAATTGGAACAGCTGAAACTCTAATCAGAGAAGAGTTCATTGTGATGGTGAATTTCCCTTCAGAACCAGCCTGCCCAAAGCTTACTGACCGGTACCCAGGAACCGGCAATTTGCCGCAGTGCAAGGCGCTATGCATTTCTTCCATTTACTGCTTTCACGTCGCGATCTCTCACTGTCCTTTGCCCCCGTTACAAGACAACCTGAGCAAATTAGAATTGTTGCTTCTACTTGAAGAACTTTGCCAAAAAAGCTTTAAATCTGCACAGCTCTTCTCACTCCTTTCTGTCAATTCCTTCATAACTTGTTTCAAGGGTTGTTCAGACTTCTGAAATAGATTCTATATGATTTATTATAATATGTTTAAAATAGGGATGATTTCTCCAGAGAAGGCATTTCCAAAGTATGTCATCTGAACCACATTACATACTTTGGCCCCCTGAGCCTTTTATTTTCTTTATTCTAGAGGGGCTGGTGGAGTCTGCAGGACTCCCTCGGACCACCAGTACTGCCCAATAGCATTAACTGCACTGAGGATCAGGAGGAGAGTATCAAGTATGGATTTATTGGGCATCCTTCAGTTGAAAGCATTTGATTAACTTTACTTCTTCTGGGGAAAATCCAGCCTAGCTGAATACTGTTTTGTCACTCCCCATCTGTATTTACTTTCTTTCTCACAGGCAAAATTGTGCCTGGAGTCCCATTTGCAAAATTCAGGCCTGGGTCTACACTAGAGATGTATTTTCCAGTCATCTTGTGGTTTGCATGTAAGTGTCTCTAACAAATATTTTCACTTCATATAGACTGGAGGCTCACTCATAGGGCATCAGGGCAAGAAGGCCCCTACCATGATTAAGAGAATCCTGGGGCTCAGGAGCTCGGCAGGTAGGAAACCTTGCTCCGACTCTCCGTGGGGCTGACAAATTCTGTCAGAGAGGATATGGGCCAGCCCACCTAAGAGACGGAAGAAATGAACTAGAAGTCTTGTTAAGTCCACCATCCACCAAGAACGGTGGATTATCACTGAGATAGGAGTGTCCTCCTCTACCACCAGCCAGGACCTGCTAGGACTCAGACGAGTGAAAAAACCACAGTGAATAAACGATGCTCTCTAGTAAGACAGCACACATCCTGGGCCTTTAGCTAGGATGTTATACTAAGACTGCCTCCTTCTAGAATGTTCCTCATCATCTGATAACCACACTCAATAACTCTATTTCACTTGGGCATTTTACCTTCTCTGTGACGGTCAGTGGCAGAGAATTTTCTGGGCACAATGCATATTCCAATGCCTGAGTTTTAGAAAAACTTGGGATATGAGAAAAAATAAAAATAAATAAAAAGCAAATTCTTTCTAATCCCAATTTTGTATCAGATATGGCCCCCCCCCCAATTATTTAGTCATTCTGAAGCATTAGCCTTCCCTTAGGGAGAAAACGTGAGACAGGAATCCATCAGAATCCTAGAGGAGAACATAGGCAGTAACCTCTTCGATATTAGCCACAGCAACTTCTTTAAAGATATGTCTCCAAAGGCAAAGGAAACAAAAGCGAAGATGAACTTTTGGGACTTCATCAAGATCAAAAGCTTCTGCACAGCAAAGGAAACAGTCAAAAAAACAAAGAGGCAACCCATGGAATGGGAGAAGATATTTGCAAATGACAGTACAGACAAAAGGTTGATATCCAGGATCTATAAAGAACTCCTGAAACTCAACACACACAAAACAGACAATCAGATAAAAAAATGGGCAGAAGATATGAACAGACACTTCTCCAATGAAGACATACAAATGGCTATCAGACACATGAAAAAATGTTCATCATCACTAGCCATCAGGGAGATTCAAATTAAAACCACATTGAGATACCACCTTACACCAGTTAGAATGGCCAAAACTAGCAAGACAGGAAACAACATGTGTTGGAGAGGATGTGGAGAAAGGGGAACCCTCTTACACTGTTGGTGGGAATGCAAGTTGGTGCAGCCACTTTGGAGAACACTGTGGAGATTCCTCAAGAAATTAAAAATAGAACTTCCCTATGACCCTGCCATTGCACTACTGGGTATTTCCCCCAAAGATACAGATGTAGTGAAAAGAAGGGCCATCTGTACCCCAATGTTCATAGCAGCAATGGCCACGGTCGCCAAACTGTGGAAAGAACCAAGATGCCCTTCAACAGACGAATGGATAAGGAAGATGTGGTCCATATACACTATGGAGTATTATGCCTCCATCAGAAAGGATGAATACCCAACTTTTATAGCAACATGGACAGGACTGGAAGAGATTATGCTGAGTGAAATAAGTCAAGCAGAGAGAGTCGATTATCATATGGTTTCACTTATTTGTGGAGCATAACAAATAGCATGGAGGACAAGGGGAGATGGAGAAGAGAAGGGAGTTGAGGCAAATTGGAAGGGGAGGTGAACCATGAGAGACTATGGACCCTGAAAAACAATCTGAGGGTTTTGAAGGGGCAGGGGATGGGAGGTTGGGGGATCCAGGTGGTGGGCATTGGAGAGGGCACGGATTGCATGGAGCACTGGATGTGGTGCAAAAACAATGAATACTGTTACGCTGAATATAAACAAACAAACAAAAAAATCCTATTCAGTAAAAGGATACTGCCTAATATCAACCAGTAGAGTCGGTTAATTGGTCAGTTTCCATTAAATATCATTACCCTTTTTGTCCCTAAAGATGTATCTTCTCAAATATCCATCTTTCGAGTATTTTACACTTTAGCTTCCTGAAAAATTTCAAAATCTTATCAGAAAATCAAACTGACAAAATGCACGATTAGAAGACTCTGTATTTATCTTTGGGTTGAACAGACCCACCCATTTCAATAACAGAACAGAAAACAAAACAAAAAAATGCCAAAAGAGAATGACAAAGACTATGCTTGAATGATGGAATCACAGTGCTAATTTACTCAGCCCCGGTGATCTAAAAATTTCCAGTAACTCACCAGGTAGGCTTCTTTCTTTGCATCCTCTAAAAACACAACGATTCCTGTTTTGCCTAAATACTTAAACACAATGTGTTCAATATTCAAGTTTACTCAGAAGGTATTTATAGCTCAGATGTCTGCTAATGTCATGAGCAAGAGACATAGAATAGAATCTAATCTCTTAAATAACAGGACAATAAACTTCAATGACATTTAACCCCCATAGATAGCTTTTGGGCAATTGGTTGGTGGTCTACAGAATTCATACCATTCTGAGACTCATAAAGAAACAGCAAAGAGGGGCGCCTGGGTGACTCAGTGGGTTAAAGCCTCTGTCTTCGGCTCAGGTCATGATCCCAGGGTCTTGGGATCAAGCCCCGTGTTGGGCTCTCTGCTCAGCAGGGAGCCTGCTTCCTCCTCTCTCTCTGCCTGCCTCTCTGCCTACTTGTGATCTCAGTCAAATAAATAAATAAAATCTTTAAAAAAAAAAAAAAAGAAACAGCAATGACTGGATTTTCTCTATACTCACTTGACATACCTGAAATTCCCAGTGATGGGTGTTATATGTAAACAATGAATCATGGAACAGTACATTAAAAACTAATGACATACTGTATGGTGACTAGCATAACATAATAACGAATACTAATACTAATAAATTTATTGGAACTAATTTCTGCTTTAATGCAGTTACTCTCATGAACATCCCTTACCAAAAATCTACTAGCCCTTTCTTTAAGGTAAATTATATCCTAAGACTCAAGTGACTCATTTTTATTTGAAATAGATAGACCATGAAGACAAATATGAATATATATGTATTTAAACATGATTACATATAAAACGCGCACACTATTTTGGGTATGTAGGTATATGTGCATGTATATACATACATACGAATCATTATTGTTGAAAATCTGTTAGTATTAAGTTTTATAAATAAGTTTAAACATTCTGAGGGCAAATGCAAAACACCTAAAGGTTGCCTATTTAATCAGAAGTTACTGCCAACACTTACCAGAGGGGCTCAATAATATTCTTCGGTATGAAGACTAGCAAACACCATTTTAAAGTAGAAATAGGGCTTCTCTATTTTGTGATTGCATTTTATGTGTTTTATGTGTTTGATTTAAAAAAAAAAAATCTCACATCTGAAAGCTGAGGTTCCTTTTCATGTGCTGCAATTGACAATAAGTGGGGAACATTATACTCATTGGAGAGTAAGTACGGATCATCAGTGGAGCTTTAAAAACAAGTGCATGATTTAGGCACTTTTCTAGCTTGCCTGTAAAGATGGTGCCCTGCTTCAAATGAGAACATGCCTCTTGAGCCGACTAAAAGAGAATCCCCACCATACCTTCATGGGCGCCAGCTGGATGGGTGTGATGCAGGAAGGGTCCACCATGGGCTTCGGCCTGTTGGCCGTGTCCGCTAAGAGGCTGTGCCACTGCTGGGGGAGGCCCGTGAACTTCTGTTCTTGTGGATCAAACCCGGTGTGCACCCTGTGTTCAAAGTTGGAGGGACCAGATATTTCAATCTTTTTCTTTTTCTTTCCAAACATGATGCAAACCTGGGAAATGCAAACAGAACAAGAGATCTCTGGTTAGATCTCGCTGGCATAAGACGACAGGAAAAATGATTCCATTGCAGTTCTAGCTTTTCAATGATTCCTCTCTGTCTCAGCTGCAAAAGACAAAAGTTGGATTTTCAGGGTGCATAGAGGAGGTATTTCGTTCCTAATCTGTTTTCTCCTTGCCCTTGCCATGTGGAACATAGTTCCCTGTCCCACTGATCTTGGATTTGGCCATGGGACTGCTGCGCAGCCCAGGGTGGAGGGTTTTGAAGGCACTGTTTATCTCCACTTTCCTCCTTGTGCTTTTGCCATCTGGCAAGAAGACCTGTTTCTTGTGCATATTCCCTCAGCCTGGATCCTGGAAGGAGAGATGCGTGAAACCGACCCAAATCCAACCTCCAGTCTGGATCCAGGCGCAGATGAGTCACAGGGGACTCGGGGGTAAGAAAGCAATGTTTATAATTATGCCACTAAGATTCCAGCCTTGTTATGTGGTATTAGCAAAGCAAAAGCTGACACGTACACAGGGAGAAGCATCTCAAAGTTTGGCGTGCACTTAATATCTGAACACTTTTGAACAAACAGGGGTATAGATGAAAAATGGGGTTAATAATCACAATCACCATTAAGTCAATCAGAGAAAGACAATTATATGATCTCTGATATGAGGGATTTCAGAGGCAGGGCGGGGGGTCACGGGGAGTAGGGAAGGAAAAAAATGAAACGAGATGGGACTGGGAGGGAGACAAACCATAAGAGACTCTTAATCTCATGGAACAAACTGAGGGTTGCTGGGGGGTGGGATAGGGTGGCTGGGTGCTGAACATTGGGGAGGGTATGTGATATGGTGAGTGCTGCGAATTGTGTAAGACTGATGATTCACAGACCTGTACCCCTGAAACAAGTAATATGTTATATGTTAAAAAAAATCACATTCACCATATACAATTATTATGAGGCTGAAACAAGCGAACATTTGTAAAACACTCTGAAAGGTACCCGGCACAAAGTTAAGTGCTGCAAATATTAAATAGATCTCTGAACAAATATGCAAGAAACCTGAGTGGCATTGCCTGCAGAGAAGGAGAGAAGAGAGCCTCAGGGACAAGGCAGGGAGGAAGACCACTTTTCAGTGGATATTATGTTTAGAACATTGCACAGTGTATTTTGTCTATTTGAAACAATGTAGTTTACCTAATTGAAACATATTCTGTGACCAGGATACCTTCAGGATACCTGTAAAATAGTCACTGTGTGCTTAATGGTACTGAAAACATCTAAGACATCCTGGGTTTGAATCCCAGGCTGGTTCACCTACCCACTAGGATCTTGGGTGTAACTGCTTTTCCATCTCTTAGTTTATTGTGAATAGGACAATCATGATCGTTTGGGGAATCCTGAAAACCCGGCTTTATATAAAGGGAGATGGTTTGGTTTCACTGTAGCTTTGTTGGGGAAGCCTTATCCCAGCACTTAGGCTTAAATAAGCAGCTTATATACTCATACAGCTCCATGTACCTATTCTTCACAGCCTACATCCACTTGCTGTCAATTAATTAGGGATAATGGTGTGCCTGGTGCCTGTTTTCCCTACTAGAATAGAAGATCCACCAGAGAAGGGATACTGTTAGCTTGTTCATTATGATGTGCCAGTGCCTGCCATACAGAAGGACTCAACAAATATTTGCTGATGGACTAAAATAACAAGCACGGTACATTTATTCATGACTAGCACCTAGGGTAAGAGCTCCACGGATGTTAGCATCTTCCCCTGCTCTTCCCCTCTTCCCCACCCTCTCTCTCCCTTGCCTTCATCTTCCATTCAAATTTGTTTCTTCTTATAACCAGTTACCCTGCTTGGCAAACAGGGTCTTCCTGCTGCCTTCAAGCTTTCTCACAGTCCCGTTCCATCCTCTACCGATATCTACTAGGTCTGTTGAGCTGCAATAGAAAATACCCCAAACTGGGAGGTTTTTTAAACAATAGCTGGTTCTTTCTCATGGGTCTGGAGTTCGGAATCTAAGATCAAGGCTCTGGCAGATTTGGTTTCTAGTGAGAACCTACATCCCAGATGGCTGTCTTTTCCCTAGGACCATGTTGGAAGGGAAGAGGGAACTCTCGCTGGCCTCTTCTAATAAAGGCACTAATTCCATTCACGAGATTCAACCCTCATGAGCTGGTCATCTCCCAAAGGCCCTACTTCCTAACGCTATCTCTTTGAAGATTAGGAGTTCAACATATGCGTTTTGGAGGGACATATTTAGACCACAACACTGGATGGATATGTATTCTCTTGACCAGATTCCTCACAGCTTTAACTCCTCCAGACTCTATCAAAACCCATTTCCCCATCCATCCTGGTTGTTACTTTGGACTAATTTGGAAAATGCATCAAGTGATTAAGAAAAATCAATGAAAGATAAAGGCTCAAAACACCTTGATGTGTTGTGTCTTTTGGAGAGCATAACATAATTTTTAAAAACTCTTTAAGTACCCTACAAAAGTGGATTAATAAATATAAGTCAGCTGATTTTAAACATTTGAGGACACCCCAAGCCAAAAATGTAAAGAACTAAAGGAATCCAGCTGTGGTTGAGGACCCCTGGAATGGCCTCCCAATGTTTCATGCCTCCCAGTGTCCATGCCCCTGGGTGGGTCTCTCCCACACGACTCTGGGCCTGGATATGTAATTAGCTGTGGCCAACGGGACAAAAGAAACCATGACACAAGCATGAAATGATCTTGCACATTGGGGCTTGCCCACCTGCTGCTCTTGGAACCAGCAGCCAGCTTGGGAACAAGGCCAGTCCATCCTGCTGAGGATGACACACTTTGGTCTAGCCACCCATCAGCCAAACCAGCAATCGGTCCAGGTAGTAGAGCCACATAGCTGATCAGGTGAGCCCAGTCAAAACCAGCAGAACCACCATGCAGGTGAGCTAGGTCCAAAGTGCTGGTCTACAGAATCAGGACACACTAAATGTCTGTTGCTTTATGTCATTACATAGTGGACATTACATTTTGGCACAGAAATGCTAAGAGCAAAGACTTGCTTATCATCCCATATCTTGTATCTTCAGATGCCCATCATTTTTCTTCTTCTACTTTAGCTGCTTCAAAGTCACAAGTAATAATGTTCAATCTGGGTCACTACATTAGCTGCTATATAATTCTATCAACTCAGAGGAATCTTAATTGTGATACTACTCTCTGGTTGGATATGGGCCTATAATATGGCCAGGATATTATGCCAAGTAAGTAAGTGAGTCTACATACCATCTTTCAGTGTTATTTAGTGAAAACAAAAATAATTTGAAAATATAATTTGGTCATCTGTTGGCTGAGTCCACCTGATGTTTTAATAAACTTTATGGCCATTTTTAAAAAACAAGATAGCAATTATCTTAGAAAAATCACATGAGATGAAGTGGGGTTTTTGGTTTTGTTTTGTTTTGTTACATGAATTCACACATGAACAAGCACTGAAAATGCTAGGTCAAATATTTTTAGAACCAGAATAGAAATGTTTTACTCTTCCCTTCCTGACTGTGAATGTCCCAGGGGTTGCCATGGCACTCAAATGAGAATGTAAAAAAGAAAATATCAATGAACGAATACTGTTCCTTGTTCTAAAATAAGGCAGTTGTGGAGAGAAAAATCTGTGGCTGAATTAATTTTCCTACACTGTACCCTGTGATACAACTGTAACAACTGTTATAAATACAGCGAGACATATCTAGTAAGTTTGAGTTGAAGAGTTACAGAGGAAGAAACCAGAAAGGAAAATTAAGAAGTTCTACCTTTTCAAGCAACGTTCCTGTGAAGCTCACACTTGACTAAATAGAGAGAGAGACTCTCCATGGTGGACGGAGATATTTCATTAGTGATGGCCATTACTCTGATAGCAATGAGGAATCTCACAGTCAGGTGAAAGAATCCTGATGTTTTTTACACCATGAAGCAGAGAGATACAAGGTAGGAGGCCCTCCTAAAACCCAAGATCTGCTTGATAAATTGTCTCTTCTCTCTGAGAGGTCCGCACTTAGTCTGTCCCTGGCATAGTGCTCAAGGTTCATTGCGTCCGCTCGCACTTAAAACTCACAATAACCCTACGTTGGCAGTGGGACCGGGAGGGGAATGTTTCCAGACCACTGTCAGGTTCGATCTGCTAGGAGAACTCACAGCAACTTAGCATACAGTTCCACTCCAGCTGTGATTCATTACAGTGAACGTAGGCAAAGCATAATCGGCAAAGGGAAAAGGCACATGGACAAAGTCTGGGGGAAACCAGGCGTAAGCTTCCAGGGGTCCTCTCCCAGTGGACTCACACAGGACCTGATTAATTCCTCTAGCAATGAATTGTGACAATACATGAAAAAATGCTGTCTACCAAGGAAGCTTTTTTATAGACTCAGTGCCTGAGGATTTTATTCAGTATTAGTCACATAGGCACCCTTTGCATGGCCCATGCCAAAATTTTAGCCTCCAGAAGAAAAGCAGGGGTTCAGCATAAACAGTTCAGTCACAGTGAACCATTTTTATCAGGGAAAGGTGGGAACCCTCCTGGAATCCGAGCTCCCAGATGCCACCCAAGGGCCAATCTTGCAAATCGGCTTTTCTAAGACATGCTCAGGCCTGCTATGTTAACTCTTCTCTGAACAGGAGGTGTTATCGTCATATCTCCATGGAGGAAACAAAATCTGAGAAGTTAAGAAATGACAAAGCTGGAGGCTCAGAACCTCCCAACACATGCTTTTAATTACTACACAATTCAATGTTGTCCTGCACTAGCCTTCTTTACCACATATCCCTACCCCTGCCCTTCTTAGGAAACTTGGTCCACTAGAGATATGCCTGGGTGGGGATGGTGAGCTCGAATAAGGGAACTATGAGATTCTGGAAATCTGGGGATCCCCTTATGTCTCTCCAGAAAGACCCTTTTTCCTGACCGAGCAGGACTCTGTCACTGAGAAGGGGCCAAAGTGCTGCTGGGAGCC